GAAATATTCACTGCCCCTTGCCCTGCCCATTTGCTGCTGGGGATTAAACCTGGGGCCTTGTGTGTGCTAGGTAATAAGCACATTACCACTGTGGTCCACATCCAGCCCTTTGCTCTTGCTTTTGGTTCTTGGTCTGGGGATGTAGGTCACTCCTAGGGCACATGGCTAGCCTGTGAGATCTTAGGTTTGTATCCTCAGAACCACAGGGGTGGGGAAGGGGAAAGAAAGAAAAGAAAAAGGAAGAAGAAGGAGAAGCTGGTGGTGGTGGCGCATGCCTTTAATGCCAGTACTCAGGAGGCAGAGGCAGGTGGATCTCTGTGAGTTCAAGTTTAAGGCCAGCCTGGTCTACCTAGCAAGTTCCAGGACAGCTAGAGCTACATAGTGAGATCCCGTCTTAAAAAAAAAGAAAAAGAAAAGAGGATTAGAGCATACTAATCACGTGAGTCGGCCATAGCCTCTCAGCCAGGACACTCTGGGCCATCATCCATCTGTCCCCTTGAGTCTCTCTTGCACTGAGATCCAGTACCGTGCTATGAAAGATGGGCCAGTAATGCTAACAGACACACACACTAAAAGAGTCTCCAATGTGGGGCTGGTGCTATGGCACACTGGGTAAAAGCACTTGCTGTATGGCATTAGGACTCAAGTTCGAATCCCTGGAACCCACACCAAGAGTATGGCCTGGGTCTGTGACCTCAGTATTTTTCAGAGCAGAGACACGGAATAGTTGGGATTACTGGCTGACAGCCTAGCTCCAGGGTCATTGAGAGATCCTGTTGCAAGGGAATAAGGTGGACAGTGATAGAACAAGACACTCAGGGTCCTCTGGCACACGGGCATGTACACACACACACACACACACACACACACACACACACACACGTACCTACAGATACATACATCCAAGTGTATATAACACACATAAACACATACATGCATGTATAACACATATGTGCATGTAACATGCACACATATACAATACACACATGCATATTTAACATACGTGTGGGTATGACACGTATGTGCATATAGCATATGCACTCATACACACACATATAGTCTCCAGTGTGTAGTCTATTTCAAAGGGTTCTCATGCTTTCTTCCTTGTTTTTATTAGCATATTTAATTTAATTTTTTTCTTTGTTTTTCAGAGACAGGGTTTCTCTGGGTAGCCCTGGCTGTCCTGGAACTCACTCTGTAGCCCAGGCTGGCCTCGAACTCACAGAGATCCACCTGCCTCTGCTTCCCAAATGCTGGGCTTAAAGGCCTGCCCCACCACCGCCCAGCAGCATATTTAATTTAATTGCATAAAATGATAGGTTTCATGCCGTTCTCACAGGGAGACATAGTATGTGTTGAACACACTCAAACCCCCTGACCTGACTGTCGACTCTCTTTGCTTCATAGAATGAAAATATCTGATATGGACTGTTAAGGGTTTTCCTCCATTTTACCACCCCCACCCCCCACCCCCTACCCCCGCCCCCAGCCCTTCCCCTCTCTGCTTCCCCTTCCCCTTCGCAGTTCTGGCGACTGAACCAAAGGCTTCATGCATGCTAGGCAAGCATTCCACCACTGACTCACCCCCCCCCCCCCCCCCCCCCCCCCCCCCCCCCCCCCCCCCCCCCCCCCCCCCCCCCCGCAAGTTCTGATTAGAGTTTTTATTTTGTTTTCTGCCATAAAATTCAAGCAGACAGCACAACAACAGTGGGTTGGACCAGGATGTGAGGTGCACCGTAGATATAAAACACTGGTCATTGTACAGTGAGGCGGGGCCTGGGGAGATGACTCAGCGGGTAAAGCACTTGCCTCACAACCAGGAGGGCCTGAGTTCGATACCGGGAACCCACGTAAGAAGCCAGACAGGATAGGTTGGTCTGGTCTGGAATTCCCCTCTTATGGTAAGAAGGGAGGTGGAGACATGCGTGCGTGGATCAGCTCGCCTACTGTGCTGGGTGGAAAACAGCAAAGGGACTCTCTCTTTATTTATTTATTTATTTATTAGACAGGGTTTCTCTTTGTAGCTTTGGTGCCTGTCCTGGATCTTGATCTGTAGACCAGGCTGGCCTGGAACTCACAGAGATCCGCCTGGCTCTGCCTCCCGAGTGCTGGGATTAAAGGTGTGCGCCACCACCGCCTAGCGGGACCCTCTTTTTAACAAGGTAGAATTTGAGGACTGGCACCCAAGGCTGTCTTCTGACCTCCACACTCACAGCTCCACTCTCGTGTAAGAACAAACGCACACATCGCACATGCATACGCGTCTCTCACACAGACAAGCACACACACAAGATTAGAAGAGGAAGAAGGAAAATGAGTCGGACCCCTACAATGCTTTAAGATTCTAACAGTGGCTAACCCCAGTTCTTCATGGAAAGCATGCATTACTGATATGTATTGGTGGGTGTGCTGGTTTGAAAGAAAAGGCCCCCCCAAAAGGAATGGCATTATTAGGAGGTGTGGTCTTGTTGGAGGAAGTGTGTCACTGTGGAGGCAGGCTTTGAGAGCTCATATATGCTCAAGCCATGCCCAGTGAGTCAGACCACTTCCTGTTGCCTGTGAGTCAAGATGTAGAACTCTCAGCACGTGTTGATAATGAACTAGACCTCTGAAAATATAAGCCACCCCAGTCCAATGTTTTTCATTTATAAGAGTTGCTGTGGTTGTGGTGTCTCTTCACAGCAATAAAAACCCTAACTAAGACCAAGCTAGTAAAAGACAATATATGTGATTAAAAACAACTTGTTTCAGCTGGGCTTGGTGGTGTGTGTGTCTGTAGTCCAGGCATTTGGGAGGTAGAAACAGGAAGATAAAGACTTCAAGCCCAGCAGCTGTCATATATTGGGTCCGAGACAGTGCCTGAACTTTGCAAGACCCTGTCTCAAAAACCCCAAAACCAGCCGGGCGGTGGTGGCGCATGCCTTTAATCCCAGCACTCGGGAGGCAGAGCCAGGCGGATCTCTGTGAGTTCAAGGCCAGCCTGGGCTACCAAGTGAGTCCCAGGAAAGGCGCAAAGCTACACGGAGAAACCCTGTCTCGAAAAACCAAAAAAAAAAAAAAAAAAAAAAAAAAAACCCAAAACTGACTAACTAACCATATTTGTTTTTATGGCCTATGTACCGGCCACAATGTCAAATGCTTTATCATTATCTCATTTAACCCCAGATAAAACTAATATGTATATTAACATGTACATATTATCGTTTTCTCAATTATAGAGTTTTAGCCGGTAGATTCTGAGCTCTTTGCCCAGTGTCTACACAGCATAGTCAGTGCCAGGGCAGTAAATATTAACTGAGGTGTCTGCTGGCTTTTACACCACAATCATCATCTTGACTTCCCCAGGATCTCTGCCCAGTTCACACTAAATGATTTTGGACAAAGGTGATTTGAGGACTCAGCATCAAGACGGCATTTTACATACAGCCAGGCAGATTGAAAACCAAGTGAAATTCCTCAGCCCGAATCCTTCCATCTGTGAGCATCGATCTGTTGAGTCGCCCAGCATCCTGTTGCTACGGTTACCTTAAGGCAGCCATCAGGATAGGAAAAAAAAGAATGCTGTAACTCATCACCCCCTCCTGTTGGAATGTGGAGCCCTGGGCACAGTGACACCAATTCTTTAGATTTCTCGAAAAAAAATATCAGAACACATATTAAAAAAAAGAAAAGGGCTGTGGTACTCAAAAATGTTGAACAGTGTTCCCGATTCCCAGATCAAACAGAAAAAAGCTTCTCTCCTGGGTCATTTTGTTGACTAATGCTATTTTCATTTTTTTTTAAAGGAGTAGTCTAACTATGTGGCCCTGACTGGCCTGGAACTTGCTGTGCAGACCAAATTAACCTCAAACTCACAGACATTCACCTGCTTCTGCCTTCTGGGTGCTGGGACTAAAAGCCTGTGCCACTGCAGTGCCTAGTTAACCCTGGTTTATAGGATACAATTTTAATGACTTTTTTAAAAAGATTTATTTATTTATTTAACGTATGAGTGCTCTATCTGCATGTACAACTTTATGCCAGAAGAGGGCCTCAGATCCCCATTACAGATGGTTGTGAGCCACCAGGTGGGTGCTGGGAATTGAACTCAGGACCTCTGGAAGAGCAGTCAGTACTCTTAACCGCTGAGCCATCTCTCCAGCCCCGCCCCCCATAATAGCTTTCATTATGCTATTTTAAACACAGAAAAGTAAGAGATAGCACCCTCTCCATCAGAATCATTTTGTGCTGACCATGGTGGATGTGTCGATAAAGCTCTCATTTTTACTGAGGATTGTCTATTAGGACTGTAGTCATCTAAGAACAGTGCCTAAACCTTGAAACTATACCCCAGAAATAAAGACTATATATATATATTTTTCTTCTCTGGAGAGTTAGGAAGTCTGGGGGGTTGGGTTTTTTTGTTTATTTGTTTTCAAATTTTTATTTTTTATTTTTCAAGACAGGGTTTTTCATTGTAACCCTGGCTGTCCTGGAACTCACTCTGTAGACCAGGCTGGCCTCGAACTCAGAGATCCACTTGCCTCTGCCTCCCAAGTGGTAGGATTAAAGGCGTACGCCACCACTGCCTAGATAGAATGTTCTTTTTTTTTTTTTTTTGTCTTTTGGTTTTTCGAGACAGGTTTTCTCTGTGTAGCTTTGTGTCTCTCCTGAAACTCACTTGGTAGCCCAGGCTGGCCTTGAACTCATAGAGATCCACCTGGCTCTGTCCCCTGAGTGTTGGGATTAAAGGCGTGAGCCACCACCGACCAGCTAGAATGTTCTTAAGAAAGCAAAATAAATAAATAAATGAAAATACAGGCTAAGATAAAAATGCGGTTGAATTCCTGAATCCCATGCTCCTACTATAACTAAAACATTAAGATGTTTTCAGTAAGGAAAAAAAAAATCTCTTTCTTACAGACGATAACCACTCTTCTCTGGTTTTTGTTTTCCTTCTGCTGAAAGAGGGCTAAATGTTTTCCTTCTACAACATAAAAATCTGTTCATTTTTTTTTTAAATGACACTTTTATTGATTGGGATTTTTATTGTGCTTATTTGTTTACGTATTGTTGGCTCTCTCTCTCTCTCCACCATGTTGATCCCAGGGACGGAAGACAAATCGTCAGGCTTGGCGGTGAGTCCCACCACGCTGTCTCACTGGCCCTTTATTGGAACAATTAAAAAAAAAAAAGTGACTGGTTTTAGTTAGACAAGTGTAGATGGCAATAATAAAAACCATAGATGCGGCGCGCAAATGTGCCTTGGGCCGGGAGCCTCACAATTCATAGGGGTTGCTCATCATAGGGAATGTAATTCTCAAGCACTTTTTGAAAGTACACTCCCCCATCCCAATCCTCTGCCCATCTATGTAACCATTGGCAACAGCCTTGCAGGGTTTTCCTTCCGTAGTGTGGTCCTGTGTCCTGCCGTGCGCCGCCTGAATGTAGTGAGGTTTTAACACTTTGAATTATTTGAACAAGGGATGCTTAGACACTCAAATGGCCCCAAGCAGGAGTGCTGGAGGCACCTGGCTGGGCAACATCTCTCTCACCACCACAGCTCCGGGTCTGCTTTTATTTCTCCTGTGTCCTGCCATGATTTGAATATGCAGAAACCAATGATTAGGATATAGGTCCTTACATTCTCTCTACTCAAAGACACTATTGGTGTCTGGCTTTTTTTTTTTTCCCACGCAGCACAGAGTCTCTGGGAGAATGCTCCACATTATGTATATTGAGCCGGCTCTCTCCCTGGGTTGTCGATAATGTTTGGTTATTAAGAACACAGCTGCAGACATAACCCGGGCGTGCATGCTTGTCATTCGCCACGTGTGTGCAGACTTCTCATCAGCACGGTAGTTCCCAGGAGGAGCATCGCTGGGTCCCTGCTTGCTGCTCTGCTCTGTTAGCTGTTTGTTACCTAATCGCCTTTCCAAGCCCTGGACCTTCCCCCGAAAGTCCTGGAAGAGCTGAGGTTTCCGAATCTTGTCGTTCTGACCCGGTGTCTTGGTAACTCAGCATGGTTTGAATTTTCGCATCTTCCTGTGATGTGAGTGGATGCCTCTTCATCCACGCTGGGTGCTGGACCTTTCTTTGTGGCTTCCTTCATCTGTCCCCAACTACTTTCCCTGAAAGCTCCATTTCATTTTTCATTAATTTTTACTAGCCCTTTATTGTGGAAAATACAGTTGATAGAGCGTTGGTGGTATTTTCTTCCCATTCTCACTATGTAGCCAAATTTATCGATTTTTTTTTTACTTTTTTTGTTTGGTTTTTCGAGACAGGGTTTCTCTGTGTAGCTTTGCGCCTTTCCTGGAACTCGCTTTGGAGACCAGGCTGGCTTCGAACTCACAGAGATCCTCCTGCCTCTGCCTCCCAAGTGCTGGGATTAAAGGCATGCGCCACCACCGCCCGGCTTTTTTTACTTTTTTAACAAATTAAAATATGATTTATTTATTTTTATGTGTATGAGTATTGTCATGCATGTATGGGTACCACATTAGCACAGTACCCTCGGAGGCCAGAACAGGGAACTGGTTTCCTTGGAACTGGGTTAATAGGTGGTTGTAAGCAGCCACATGTGTGCTGGAAACTGAATTCAGGTCCTCTACAAGAGCAGTGGTGCTTTTAACCACTGAGCCATCTCTTTAGCCTCCAAATTTATCAATTTGAAAAAAAAATGGTTTCTGGATTTTGAGCCATAAGTAGTAAGATGATTTTCTCTTTCACAGTGATAACATTTATCTACTGACTTGGCATTTGCAGGTTTTGGTACTTATGTTTTTTGTCATTGAGCCTGATTCCCATGCATGTGTCGGAGGCATTGTTCTGTGTGATTTTATGGCCCTTGTAATATGCATAAATCACAGTCACTGAAGATGCTCCAAATTCTGAGATGCCCCCTTGCCTCTCGTCTTAATTATTGTTTGTGTTGTTGTGGTAAACGCCCTGACAAAAACAACCTCCGAGTTTATTCTGGCTCACGGTTTGAGGGTGCACAGTCTGTCATAGCAGAAGACATGGCAGCGGAACGTGAGGCGGCTGGTCACAGTGGCATCCACAGTCAGGAAGCAGAGAGAGATGGATGCTGGTGCTCAGCTCACTTTCTCCTCTGTACTCAGTCTGGGGACCCCAGCCCCATGGGATGGTGCTGCCCACTTACAGGGAGTGTCTCCCCACTTCAATGAACCTAATCAAGATAATCCCTCATAGCGGCTCCTGGAAGCCTGTCTCCTAGGGGACTCTGTTTTCAATCAATGTTAGCCATCACCGCTCTGTAATAGCCAGATGTCTGGACTCATTCTGTACTTATTTTGTAGTCACAGTGGCTACTTATGTACCAGTGCCACAGGGTTTTAATGGCTGTGGCTTTAGGACTCCTCTCTCTGACTGTCTATATTTGCCCATCTCTGTAGATCTTCTTTTATGGCCCCCAATAAGATACCATTAAACTCCGTTGTATACTTTTATTTAAATACCATTTGGCTCCCATCACTTTTGACAAATGGGATATTTTCTTCCCTTTATATTAGCTCTTTAGGGCCTAATACACAGAAAATAACTTAGAAGATTTATCATCAATCTGTCTGCCTTAAAACACTGCTTTATTTACTTGTTCCATTAATTTATTTTACTAGTTTTTTTTTTTATTTTTGGAGGGTATGCAGCTATATTCAGAAAAAAGAAACTTTACTATCCCATCCCAGATGTTTATAGTGAGGCTTTTATTTATAAATCTACAGAGACTCCTAGTCCACATGGAGCAATAATGCTACTTGTGGATGCCAATGTCTCTTCCCGGCTTTTAATGGAAAAAGCAATGGTGTTTGTTGCCCTGAGGATCTCTGTGCGTGCTTTCTGTTGAATGGTTTTTAACCCACTCCATTTATTTAGAGAGATAGGATTAGAATGGTCACCAAATTTTTTCTTTTAGCTGATTGACACACACACACCTACAGATATGTCATATCTGTATACACACACATACACACACACACACACACACACATAAAATAAAAAAGAAATCTTAAGAAAAAGGAGAGGGCTTTCTTTTCTTCTTTCTCTTTTATCCTCTTCTTGCCTTCCCACTTCCTGGGATCATCGAACCCCAGGTCTCATATATGCTATGCACATACTCTACCCCCCAGCCCCACTCTATATTTTATGTCTGAAGCTATTAACAAATTTATGTCCTGACTTCAATCTGGACCCAAAGGACTTGCTCTGAGTGGTCTTGAAATACTGGGGACACCCCAGTGGGAAGCAAAGATCTGAATGGAAAGTATTTTTAGAGAAGGAAATTGGCTGGCTGCCCTCGTGACCTTTTCAAACCGACGCGGAAATCCCCCTGCCTCTGAAGTTCAGATGCCGCACTCAGGCTTTGGCTTCCAGAGAGCGACGACAGAGAAAGAGCATGCGGCTCACCGTGCTCCTCAGTGCTGCTTCCCTTTCTCCTCTGAAGGAGCTCTGAGTCTTGAAATACACTGAATGCACTCTGGGCTTCTCAGTGTTTGAAACCCCCATGTTGGACCTTTCTTCAGCAGGCCTTTAAGTGACAATAGACGCCAGACAGACAAGTGCCGTTCTCCTTTTTCAAACCCTGAGGGCTCTCCAAGGCAGGAGTCGACTCGTGCGTCTGTGGTGAAGTCTCATAGGGCGACAGCCTCGACAGAAAGGTCGTGTGTAAGTAGGGGACCGCAAGCTGAGAGGGAAGTTCCTGTGTGACTGTGACTATCTGGCCAAGCAGGTGACAGCATTAGACTTTACAGCAGGCCAAGCCACCTGACCGATCACTCCCTGTGGCAGCCGATGGCTTCTGGGACCCAGTGTAAATATCTTGCCACCACATTTCCATTCTTCTTACTCTGCATGACTCTGAATTGCTCCAGCCTTGCCGTTCTGCTTAGTGCTTGGACATACCACACTCGCAGCTTTCATGGGAGGACAGGCTGCCATCTCCTCCGGGTTTTCAAGCCATTCCTCCTCCTTACCATCCAGATCTCTTCCCAACACCTCCTCTTCAGCCTTGAAACCACCTCCCCCAAGGGTTCCTCTGCCTGGCAACGGCTTTTCCCTAATGGGAAGGTGGTGGTGGAGCACATATATAATTCACAGGATATTCACTGGCATGTATCACCCCCATAGGTGGGGGACCTCTGGGATAGGGCAGCCAGCTCATTGTAAAAACACCAAGAACAGGGGCTGAAGACATGGCTCAGTAGTTAAGCTGCGTATTGCTTATTACACACCGCTCTTACAGTGGACTGGTTCCCAGCACTCACACTGGACAACTCATAACTGCCTGAAACTACAGCTCCAAGGAATCCAAGCCCCTCTTCCGGGCTCTGCTGGCATCTGCATTCATGTGCATGAACACAGACACATGCACACAATCAAAAATAATTTTAGAAATGCCTGGAACAGCACCTCATCAAGCCATCTGTAATTTCCAGTGTCGTGACGTGCCGCCCCGTAAAGTGGCGTTTCTTAGTCCTTTTGGGCTTGCCAAACAAATTTCTATGACCTGGGCAGTGGATTAACGGGAAAGACGTATTTTCCATGGCTCTCAAGGATGAAAAGTCCAAGATCAAGGACCCAATTGAGCTGATGTCTGGTGAGGGCCCCTTTCAGGTTCTCCAATGACAGGATGAGGTAAGGGAGCACTCCAAAGCCTTTGTCAGAAGGCATAGTACCAACCACTGGGATGCCATCACATGACTAGTGTCCTCCCAAAGACCTCTCACTTCCTGATCCCATCCCACTAGGGATCTATTTCAATATGAGTGGGGATGGACACAGCTCTTTTGACCACAGCATGGAGGTTTCCTATGGGTTGATGAATGCTCATGGCTTATTGGTTTTGGTATTAACCATGATGTCAATTCTCTTCAAACTGATCTACAAATGCAATGAATCCAGAAAAAAAAAATCACAGCAGATTGTGAAAAAAACAAACAAGGTATTGTAAAAACAACAACAAACAAAAAAATTAATCTGGAAGCACAAAAGACCTATAAGAGATGAGAGAATTTTGAGGAAGATCACCAGAGCCCAAGGAAGGCCATGAGGAAGATGACTACAGATTTATACCCTGGGGATCCAGCCCGGACCAGCATAAGCCTGTCCTGTAACATTTGTGGAAGGGTCCCCGTGGTGTCTCTCTGCCTTGACTGTCCTGGTATCATTTACACAGCAGTCTCTGGGGGTTGGGAGAGGCTGGTGTCAGATAGGCAAGATCATGGCCATGGGGATGACTGGAGGGTTTGGAGCATCTCAAACGTTTTCCACACGGGCCCAGAAACTGCAGAAGAGTCAGCAGGTTTCCTACAGGCCCGCCCCCTTACTCCCCAGCTCAGACACTGTCTTCCCTTTAATGGTAAAGGACAGTAACATAAAATTCCCATCCTAACCACTTACGACATGAAATTCGGTGGGATTAGAACATTCAGGATGTAGGGTAGCCATCAACATCTACTTCTTCAGCCTCATCACCTCGTGTTGGCTGTTCGTTACTGTAACAAACTCCCAAGAGAAACAGCTTAAAAAGAGGAAATGTGGAGCTGGGTGGTGGTGCGCACGCCTGTAATCCCAGCACTTGGGAGGCAGAACCAGGTGGATCTCTGTGAGTTCGAGGCCAGCCTGGTCTACAGAGCGAGCTCCAGGACAGGCACCAAAACTACACAGAGAAACCCTGTCTTAAAAACAACAACAACAACAAAACAAAAACAAAAACAAACAAACAAAACAAAACACACACACACACACAAACCAAACCAAACCAAACCAAAAAACCCAAAAGGAAATGTTTGCTTCAGCTTATGGGTTCAGCTCACAGTTGCTTGGCTCTCATTGTTTAGGCCCATGGCCAGCAGAGTATGTTAGAGGGAGCAGGTGGTAGAGGTAGTGTCTGTGCCCCTGAGAGCAGATGCCAGCAGAGGCCAGAAGAGGGCGCTGTATTCCCTGGAACTGGAGTTACAGGCAGTTGTGAGTCACCTCATGGCATCTGGGAAGCAGAGAGACAGGAAGCAGCAGTATCTCCTTAAAGGGCATGCTTCCGATGGCCTAACTTCTTCCTACCACACTCCAAAGTTTCCACTATCCCCTAATGGCACCACAGGTGCCGCCAAGCTTTTAACCCGTGCAACGCTAAGCAGAGGCCCTGTCCACCAGTTAGCAACTGCTCCCACTCTGTCTTCCCAGCTGTGTCAACTTGAAACAAACCTAGTCCCCTGGGAAGAAGAAACCTCAGCTGAAGAATTACCTTCAGCAGATTAACGTGTGGGCATGTCTACGGGGCATTTTCTTGATATGCCCAGCCCACTGTGGGCGGCACCATCCCTAGTCCAAGGTGATTCTGAGTTGTTTAAGAAAGCCTGCCGAATAAGCCAGAGAGAACCAGCCAGCAGTTTCTGCCTTGGCTCCTGCTTGAGTTCCTGCCCTGACTTCCCTCCATGATGGAGTGTGACCTGGGAGCATAAGCCAAATAAGCCCCTTCCCCATTCCCCATGTTGTTTTTTTGAGCATGCTGTTTATCCCAGAAATTGAAAAGCAAACCAGAACACCACGAATCTGTTTTTTTTATCTGCATGGATTCTCCTCTTCTGGACAGCTCATTTAAATGTGGCCTTCTGCCTAGCTTCTCACTCGGATCATGTTTGAAGACAGACCCACGTTGTAGCATGTGGCAGAACCTCATCTCCGGAGCTCTCTCTGGAGGTGAGCGCATGGAGCACATTTGCATGCCCACTTATCGCTGATGAGCATTCGGTGTCTTGCTCGTCGTTGGTTATTATTGTCAGCAGCCTTTGTGTGTGCCGTATTCCGAACACCTGTTTTTCCTACCTTTCTATGCATAGCCAGGAGAGGGTTTACAGGTCAAGTGGTGGCTCCGGATCGGCATGGTCCCCACAGCAGCTGTGCCATTCATGGTCAGCTACAGTCCCTATTTCCTTCACACGCTTGTTTTCTTCTGAAGAGTTGCTGTTGTTGAGTCTTGGGCTCTCTTCTTAGGCTTTCTAACCAGGGAAGCGCTGGATACCTGGGGCAGTTGTCTGATCTTAATCACCAGAGCGTGGAGACTCACAGGCCCCGCCTAAAGGGTCTCTCTCTAAGGGGTTCCTCAGGGACCTGTCAGGACACCTGTTCTGTACAGTCACAGGACAGCCTTACCATGAATGCATATGTGAAACCCACATATATATCTTTGCTCTCTAAATGTGACAATATGGTGGCAGGCAACATCTCCAGAGGACTCACCACTGGTGCCATGTGGAGTGTGGCTCCCTGTCTTTTATCATCCCCAATATTGCCTAGGCATAGAAAATATGGCTTGGCAGAGGCTCATTTAAGAGCCTTAACTATTCATCAAAGGACACTACTTGCCGGGCGGTGGTGGCGCACGCCTTTAATCCCAGCACTCGGGAGGCAGAGCCAGGCGGATCTCTGTGAGTTCGAGGCCAGCCTGGACTACCAAGTGAGTTCCAGGAAAGGCGCAAAGCTACACAGAGAAACCCTGTTTGGAAAAACAAAAAAAAAAAAAACAAAAAACAAAAAACAAAAAAAAAAAAAAAAGGACACTACTTAAAGCCCTCTGGGGATGATACCCACTGCCCATAGCCAAAGCAGCCGGACATCCCCAGGGGTCTCCCCTGCCCTGCCCTGCTCTGGGAGGTGCCAGCCTCCTGCCATTTACATGCTTCTTCCCCTTATCTCATCCCTTCCTCCCCAATCACTTTTTGTCTATTTTCTCTGACTTAGATTTCTTCACTTATGGTTCTAGAAGCCAGAATGGAAAAGCTAGAAGTCAGGGTGCTTCCAGGGCTACCTTCCAGTGGCTTCTGGGAGAATTCTTCTTGTCTTTTTCAACCGTGGGAGGCACCACGATCCTGCCTAAGGTGAGGCTCTCCTGAATCAGTTTGTCCCCCTCCTCTCCTCTTTCATCCTCCTCACCCCCCTCTTCCCTCAAACCTCAGATGCTCTGTCATACATCTGATAATTGCAATGCCTCCCTGATCATCAGGAGGACCCCCCCATTTCAGGCTCCTTAACCATGCCATCTGCAGAGTCCCTCATACCCTGTGCAGCGACTTACTGGACTGTTTCTCAACGGTCATGGCCTGGCATTCCACAGACTTGCTTTGTGTGGCCGGTGCTGATGATGGAGCACCTCTGTCTGGTGAGAGCCCCCACCTCCATCTTTGGGCTTGGCTTTTGTTCGACATTGCTTGATTCAGGCATCGTCTGAAAGATATAGAGACAGACAGAGTGATAGAGGCGTAGAGATGGAAAGAGAAAAGGAGACAGATGTGGACGGAGGAGGGGACAGACTGATGCTCTGCACGCTCTCAGAAATCTTTCAGAAGGTTCCAAGTCCTCATCATCAGTTTGTTACTGTTCATCTATCCGCTTGACCCATAGCTTAGGCGCCTGCCAGGCCCTTCCTTCCCAGATGCTTAGGGCTGACTGGCTAACAGACAGAGATCTGGTCCCGAACTGCATGAGTGAGCTGTGCCATCTGCTAACTGCAGACATACCCCATCCTGCTAGCATGCATGCTCCCCAGTGACAGGGCCCATTTGTCATTTCCATCTCACCTGGAAGTCCCTAGTCTTCTGGACTGCTGCTGGATTCAGCATGCCAACACCCCTGATCATTTCCCCTATTAGCCACTTGGGGGCGCCCATGCTCCATACTGTGGCCACAAGCCTACAAGAGGATTTATTCAAAAGGTCCACATGTTGCCAACATTCATTTATATATATCATACATTTATATATTTTATAAATAATACAAATATATATGTCTAAAGATTTGTTGACCCCTGCACCCCAAGGCTGGGAGGGTCACAGACAGCTGTAAAGACAGTCTTTTGCAATACAGGTTTGCAAGCGGTCACGAAGGAAAGCCACCCTACAGGTCTTGGCTTGGACAGGACTGCATGCGTGGCTGGAGACACGTTCCTTCCATTCCACATCTTGCAGAGTTACTGCCCTTGAGACTGTCACATTCTGTGGAGCATTTTTACTTTGGGAGAAAGGGTCTGACGTGTGTCTCGAAGCCAACGAGAGGAGGGGGAACCTGGGGACACAATTGCCATGTGACTTCAGGGATTTCTACCCAAAAGATAGGAGGTATCCAAAGCCCCAGATATGTAGTTACAAACCACTGATGAAGAAGACATTATGGGGGCTGGGCAGGGGTGGGCCACATGTCCCACTTAGAGTAGATCAAGGCACCCACTCACCACACTGTTAGGAATGACAGTATGTCTGTTGAAAGCTACGTCCTGAAATGATATTCTAAGCTTCGGTGAACGGATTCTACAGAGACTCCACTAGGAAAAGTGCAAAATGATGCTCAGACGAAAGAGGGAGGCCTTGCGGTGGTACCCGCGTCCCGCATCCACTTCAGCAGCTCCGTTGATGCCAAGCAGCAGACACGTCAGGGAAGGCTGGGACAACGTCTTAGGGACAAAGATGACTTCTGAACATCAGAGCCTGGCTAAATGAGGCTGCTGTGGGGGTTCTAAGGTCTTAGGGATGCTTATCAGGTCTTTGGTGGTGGCGGGCGGGGTGGTGGTGGTGGGGAGGCAAGATGGTGGCACAGAACCAAGGCACAGCTGTGGATGCTGCTTTCTTGGTTTATGCAGGGTATTCACACGTGAGCTGCAGCCGCCTCCAAATGCTGGTGCACGTGCCTTCGAGTCCCCAAGATCTCGTCACAGAGCAGTTAAGATGTGACTTGGTGGATCTGGGTGAGCCTGCATGTATTGCCAGCACACAGCTGGTACTGGTGCTGCAGTTCCTTGGGTCACATGTCTGTGCAAAGACTCAGTGCAAGATGTGTCCCAAACGGAGGCCTCCGAGGGGGCAGTAAGCCCTGTTCTCTCCCCTTGGGTTTTTCCTCTCCATCTCTGGTCCAGGAAACCAAGTGCCCACAGCATGGTAGCCTGCATAGTCCTCTAAGTCATGAGCTAAGTCACCCACTAAGTGACCTCTGCTGCTGGCTGAGGGTGAGTGATGAAGAAAAATCGCATGGCCCCATGTTGTCACAGTCTGTCACTGTAGTTTGGGAGATAATCACACAGCCTGCCAGTCTGATGCTGAATGCTGTGTGGACATGAAGCACAGGGCACAGGGCTGGGTGCCTGCCAGCTCTGGAAGTTAGGATCGCAAATGAGCACGGAGGAGGCTTGCAGAAGGTATGGCGTCAATTGGCGGCGGGGAGGGAACTTCGAAGAGGGGGGATCTTTGGCAAAGAAGAGCTGAGGGGCTGGGTCACTAAGGAGGACGAAAAATAAGGAGCTTAGTCTAGGGGAGGGGTGAGAGGAGGGTGGTGGTCACCGCTAACGGGATGCCCCTCCCCGCCATCGGGCTGTTAAAGAGTGGAGCTAAGGCTCTTTATCTACCGGAAACAGCTTATATCTGGGGAGCCAGGCAACGCGTGCGAAGCTACGGAGAACGTCCACCAGGGGGCAGCAGAGCAGAGGGATCAGAGGTTCATCTAGAATTCTAGAACTGGCCGGGGCGGCGGTGGTGGTGCACGCCTTTAATCCCAGCATTTGGGAGGCGGAGGCAGGTGGAGCTCTGTGAGTTCGAGGCCAGCTCGCTCTACAGCGCGAGTTCCAGGGCAGGCTCCAAAGCTACACGGAGATACCCTGTCTCGAAAACAAACAAACAAAAAAAAGAATTCTAGAACTGAGGGAGCCTGCGGACTTTATTCTAGATACCAGGACAGAGACCAGAGACCTAGCAGGCAGCCCACAACAGCCTGCTTATCTGTTTATCTTAACTGTCCTCTGATACCCACTTTGGGATTTGGCAAGTTCCCAGGACACCATGGTCCAAAGAGAGATGCTCACTTCTCCCCATCCCCGGGACTTCTGCATAGCGGCTCCACGTAGCCACGCCCCTCGCGCACTATTGAAGGGCCCCCGGCAGATGCACGGGAGGTTTTCCAGATGGCAGAAGCAATTAAACCTTGAAGTAGCTGTGAGGAGGGTTGGTGGAGTGGTCTGGAGGACAGGTGGACAAGTTTATTCAGTGTGCTAGGGTGGGTCCTACCTCCTGGGCATTATCAGCATGCAGGCTCTGTGGATCTGCCACCCTCTTGGCATTCAGAGAAGAAAGCTCATGGCAGAGCGGGCAGGAGGCAGGCCATCCTCAGGTGTGGGAAGACTACGCTGGCAAGTTGCATTTGCAATCCTTAAGTGTGAATTAGAATACAGCAACAGCTCTTTCCTTCGCTCATCCCCTCACCACCCCCGCCCCCACCATGTGTTTAGATGGAAAGATGGTGGGAAGAAGGAGCTGAGATGCCAGCAACCTGTAAATGCACCGAGATTCTGCCCACGTCCGCAGAAGTCCCGTGACTCGGTATGCACACTGAGGTCCCTGCTCCGTAGGATCTTGGCACCTGAAAACAAATCTGTGCCGCGCCTGCGGTGACCAAGGGAGGTCACGCTTCCCTCTCCTGTCATGGACTTTAGCTCCCAGGAGCAGCCCAGGAACCGCCAGAAATGCCAACCTATCAGGTTGCTGAGCCCTTTCAACAGGCGCATGACTGATGTTCTTCTTGGAGAGGCTGGTGGTGGGTGTCTGTGCGCTCCCAGCCCTGTGGCCTATGTGTGAGGCTCTCTGTGGCTGACAGACAGCAGTTTCGGTTCTGACTTTTTTTCTTTCTTTCTTCTTTTTCATTTTGAGCATAGGTATAATCCTGCGGCCCGTGATCTAGTGTCCCAGTAGAGTGATATAGTGAATGGGAGGTAACGAGTCAGGACCTGTAAATAATTCCCTCATATGACTGGTTACCCACTCTTGCCTTGCCTTGTGTGTGTGTGTGTGTGTGTGTGTGTGTGTGTGTGTGTGTGTAGGCCAGAGGTCAACATTGGGTATCTTTATTGATCTCCACATTATTATTATTATTATTATTATTATTAGTAGTAGTAGTAGTAGTATTGTTTTTCAAGTCAGGGTTTCTCTGTGTAACTTTGGAGCCTGTTCTGGATCTTGCTCTGTAGACCAGACTGGCTTCGAACTCACAGAGTTCTGCCTGCCTCTGCCTCCCGAGTGCTGGGATTAAAGGTGTGTGCCACCACGGCCAGGCTATTATTATTATATTTATTATTAATACGATGACTTTTTGAGGAGTCTAACCTTTTATTTTTATTATTATTATTATTATTATTATTATTATTATTTTTTTTTTTGGTTTTTCGAGACAGGGTTTCTCTGTGTAGCTTTGCGCCTTTCCTGGAACTCACTTGGTAGTCCAGGCTGGCCTCGAACTCACAGAGATCCGCCTGGCTCTGCCTCCCGAGTGCTGGGATTAAAGGCGTGCGCCACCACCGCCCGGCCTATTTTTATTATTTTTAATTATGGGTATGTATGCGGGTCTGTGTACTTACATGGGTGCAGGTGCCTGCCGAGGCCAGAGGTATAGACTCCCCTTGTATCTGGAGTTAGAGGCAGTCGTGTGCCTCCCAACATGGGTGTGGGAACTCAAACCCAGGTCCTCTGGAAGAGCAGTATGTACTCTCAACCCCTGAGCCACCTCTGCTGCCTGCCCACTTTCCTTTTTGAGACAGGTTCTCTTGCTGAAGATCCTGGAGCTTGCTGGTTGGTTGGACCTGCTGATCAGGAAGCTCCAGGGATTTTTCCCTGCCTCTACCTCCCCAGTGCTGGAGTGACAGGTGTGTGTTGCCGTGCTCAAGCCTTGCACGTGGATGTTGGGGATCCAAACTCAGGTCCTCATGCTCGCACAGCAAGCGCTTTACCAATGGAATCATCTTAGCCACGCTTTCTCCTTTCCTCTGGCTTGGTGCAGGGTGTCAAGGCTACATGACAAGACATAGTGGGAGGAACTTGTTCTGAGCCACACATGAGGAGTGCTGTGGCCACTTGGGGACCCTTGGATCCCTGCATATAATAGATAGCATTGCTTTCTCATCACGCGTTATGATTCACAGCAGGTGGCCCTGACCCGCCCCCCCCCCCCACTTCAAGGAGCTAGGTTCCCTGTGACCCATCGACATAGCAGCCTAAGGACGGAAAGTATCCAAAACGCTGTGTATTTGGGTGTTGGTGGCCATCACATTAGAGCCACGTCCCTTTAGCCTTTGCGGAAAGTCACCCACCCAGATTCTGGGAAGAGTCAGCTTGGGGGACCTGAGACACTTCTTGGAGTTTGGCTCAGCCCTCAGGATCTAGAAGATGGACAGAGACTGGTCGGTTTTAGCATTG